TGAATCGAAAAATTAATTTACTATTCGTGTTGATTCATCTATCTGTGGTAAAAATCACGATCTTTGCATGCGATGATCTGAAATGGGGTTGGAGATGAGGTCCTCCTTACYGATCYAGTTGCTTTGCTCGTTTACTTAAAACATTGAAATGAGGTTGGAGATGAGGTATTCCTGACTGATCCGGTCGCCTTSCTCGTTTGCATAAGACATTAAACTAGGGCTGGAGATGAATTCCTGCTGACTGATATAGTCGCCTTGCTTGTTTGCCTAAGACATTTATCTGGGSCTAGAGATGAGGTCCTCATGACTGATCTCATCGCCTTCCTCGTTTGCCTGAGATATTGAACTGGGGTTGAAGATGAGGTCATTTTGACTGATCTAGTCACCTTGCTCGTTTGCCTAATTCATAGAACTGGGGTCGGGGATGAGGTCTTCTTGACTGATCCGGTCGCCTTACCTGTTTGCCTAAGATATTGAACTGGGTTGGAGATGAGGTCCTCCTGACTGATCCGGTCGCCTTGCTCATTTGCCTAAGACATTAAATTGAGACTGGAGATGAGGTCCTCTGATTGATCTGGTCGCCTTGCTCGTTTGCCTAAGACATTGACATGGGGTTGGAGATGAGGTCCTCCTGACTAATCTGGTCACATTGCTCGTTTGCCTAAGACATTGACCTGAGGTCGGGGATGAGGTCCTCTTGACTGATCTAGTCACCTTGCTCATTTGCCTAAGACATTGAATTGAGGCTGGAGATTAGGTCCTCTTGACTGATCTGGTTGCCTTGTTCATTTATCTAAGACATTGAACTGGGGCTGGAGATAAGATCTCTTTGACTGATCCGATCGCCTTGCTCGTTTGCCTAAGACATTGAACTGGGAATGGAGATGAGATCTCTTTGACTGATCAAATCGCCTTGCTCGTTTGCCTAAGACATTGAACTGGGGCTAGAGATGAGGTCCTCCTGACTGATCAGGTCGCCTTGCTCGTTTGCCTAAGACATTGAACTAGGGTTGTAGATGAGGTCCTCCTTACGGATCCGGTCGCCTTGCTTGTTTGCCTAAGACAATGAACCGAGGCTAGAGATGAGGTCCTCCTGATTTATTCAGTCGCTTTGCTAAGTTGTTCAATTCTGCTTGCTGACAAAGGCATGACTCTTTTCTTTGTGAGAATAGTTCATGCTAGTATATTAGTGATTGCATAGAGTTTGACTGAGAACGACTTGGAAAGTTGAAAATTAACTAAATAATATATATGACTCATGTCTTTGTGAGTCAGGACGAGCAAGAGATGAAAACTTTGGATAAACGAACCCTTGTTTTGAATTGGCTGAATGAGTTGTGATGACATGCTTKTTGACAATGTYKTGTCATTTGTTCAAACTCTATTTGTTTTCTGCATTAGTAGGGTKATCTGTTAGTGTTCACCTTGTACTTGAGCGATAGGTATGTAGATGTCTACTTTTGTTTTCGCATTGTCTCTTCATGCATGATTGCTTTGGTAGGATTTTGGCTAGCCTTTGAGTCAAGATTCAGAGGTGTCAACTATGATAGGTTATAGTTTAGTCCTTGGAGTCAGTAGGAATTACGAACCCCTTGCTTCTAAAGGAAATGTTGCCGAAATTTCTACTGAAACCAAAAAGTTAGATTATTTTCATATATTTTTCCGAGTCTTAATTTTGCTTTTAGATTTTACGTAGTGAATATTATCCGAGCATATTTCCATAAACGAATTGTTGTCAATTTTTTTGTGATTTTCATATCGTCACCGGACGTTACTGCCAAGTAGTATAAAATGCGATACGAAGTTAGCCTCCGTTAACTCGACAATTTGTGTCTGCAGTGATTTTGTGACACATGTCACCATTACCTGTGAGTACTCTTAAAAATTTTGAGCTTCATCAACTTATGCTATCGACTTGATAGCAGGCCGGTTTGACTCAACTCCTACCTATCATGATACCCACGCCTAAATGTTTGTGATCCAGTAGGCGAAAAATATTTTCGTGTGAATTAAATTATTATCCTTTGAACCTTTTTTGAATGGCAACGCAAAAGTTGTGTGAATCGGGACGAGCGGGTATGCCATTGTTGAGTAGGGGTTGGAAAAGGGCGTGTGAGACATGAATATGACAACAAAAGGGTTGACCACGTTTTGTGACATCTGCGTGTAGATTTTTGTTGGGTTTCATGTGCATGCAAGTATGTATAGGCACGAGGATTCGCTCCTGGATTAAAGATGACGTTAATGATTGAATGCGGCGTGTGAGTGACAAAATCCAACTGTGACTGTGAGAATGACTCTCCCTTATTTCCTTCGAGACTCCCCATTTTTTTGTTTTCCATTTACGCTCTCTCTTGCATCACACATCTAGCGAAAAAGCATGAGTAGTCGAGCGCTAGGTTCAATACTCGACCTTCGATCGGACTTCGCGCAAACCTTGCTCAGACACTATAATTTCTTCTGAGTTATGAGTCACGACGCTTGAGAAAGGGACTACGTTTATTGTTTGTTTGAGTTAGATTTATTATTTTTGTTACGTATCGCGTTGTTGAGTTAGAATGTCATAGTCAACCGAAGATGAAATGCGCATGGGAGATCAGCGCCTCAATTTGATGGTTCGCGTACGGGTCCGAGCTAGGCATGGACCGCACGCACCCGCTATGCTAAAGCGGACGAGAAACGCCCTCGGCTGGGTCACCTCCACGATTGCACGTAAAAACTTTCGTGTGTGGCTCAGTAGCTCGACGGGGATACGCCCACCCAGGGGATGGTGACAGCTCCCGCAGGTGGAGGTAAGTTGTACCTTGTGAGACCCTATCCTGTCGTACGGACTCGATGGAGGTATAGCTGACGCACTCGGCTAGAGCGGCTATGCCGCTTCCCCTTTCGTCAAGCGACTTGCGAATCTGCCAATCCTGCGTGGCGTGTTCGGGAAGGTCCCCCTCCGCAGGGACCGTGCGCTGGACACCGCCGCCCACACACCTCTGTCCCAACAACTACATGTGCCTCGTTTACAAGCCGTTTCAAATCACCCTTGGCCAAACACTCCGCACTCGGAAACCGTCGTCTCACGCGGTTGCTCCAACAACTGTTTGGAATCCGCAGACACCACCGTCCATGGTTCCACGGCCTGCACCTGGTACCCCCCACCGGTAGATGTTGCTGGCTGGACCGCAAGCAGGACCGTGCCTGAACCAGGAACGTGCGGCGTAAAAAAAAACAACAAAAAAAGAAAATTTGTCCGCAGCTGAAACCTGAAGGGAACTCTTGAGTTCAAGTCACCTCCCTGAAAAGGCACCTCGGGGAGGTGACTTGAACTCGAGTGCGATTTTGGATGGGCCGCACTTGGGCCGCACTGGAGTTTCAAGAGCGGCCACTTGAGATGCAAAATGTGAAAACAAAAAGCCATTTCTCTAGGGCGGGGTGGAATGGGGATGGAACGGCAATTTTTCTAGTCGCACTTGAACGCAAGTGGTGTAGAACGAGGCTCGAAGGGCCTCATTCAACACCACTTGAAAATACTTGAGTTTCAAAGGCACCGTAAATGAGAAATTGAGTTTAATTTATGGTTCCACGTGCACTTGAGGAAACCCTTGAACAAGCTGCACTTGAAACTGAAACCCACAGCGTGACCAATCCTGGACCAGAACGCCTGCTGGAAAACAAGAAAAACAAAAAAAAAGCCCCAGTCCAAGTGCTCTGCGGTATCCATTCGCACTTGAAGTCGAGGCAGTTCAAGTGCCATTTTGTGCTTTTTCTCGAATCAGTACGGCAGTGCTCGGCGAGGCCTATGGGCTGGGTGGCGGGGGCGTTCGGTTTGCGCGGCCTTCTGCTGCTGAACGAAAAACGAAAAGTGGGAAACGAAAAACACGAAAAACGTAGAAATTGTTAGGCGGGGAATCTGTTCTCACTCCTTTTTTCGCCTTCCCCCCCAAAAAGGGCGGCAGATATTCTGCGCCACTTTAGGCTACTTCATTTCTCTCATATATCAAACCAAAAACCAGCGCTGCCGAAAACGGACAGAAGTGACCCTACCCTCCTGCCCAAAAGGTGTGTGTCGTGGAGCGCTTCGTATACACGACACCATATATAAACACCCACACAACGCAATACGACACAATACAACGCAACACAACGCGACACAACTCAAGCGGCCTGCTGGGGCTTGTTGCTGTTGCTGCTGCCGCTGGCGGGGAGCTTGCAGATGTGTTGTGCGTTTTGCTGTACGCTGCAAGCGATTCTGGAGTGCGGTTTGTTCGTTCCAGGATGTCGTTAGGCGAGCCATCTTGCCCGTGAAACGCAAACGGTCGCCTTTTGTACCATTGCTTGCTGTTCTGACTGCGCTTGTAAACCCTCTTTCGTTGCGGTTACGCTAACGCTAACGCTAACGCTAACGCTACGACAACATACGAAGTAGATTATACAGGTGAGATGACGTGGCAGATTCTTGAGCACTTTGAACTCTGATGTGCAGGGGTGCTGGGGGGAACTTTAGGCGCGCCAAGTTGTGGAGAGGTGAAAGAAGGGGAGAGAGAATTGGTGACTCTGTAAGACCGGTGGCAAGAGATTGGTCACCCTGTGAATGATTGTGCGTGAGAAGAATGACTCGGCATGTGAAATACTGATCTCCTTTCAGTTCTCTTTCGTTTTTTTTTAATAGATAATAAAATTTATTCACCCGAGGGTGTGGTAGCTTAAACCGTATGTATTCAAATACTGATCTCCGCTCAACGAACACGATTGCCTTTTTTTTTTGCTTTGATTACCCTTGTCTCGCTGTTCTCACTTTCGCTCATTGTCTTTCTGTCTCTTTCGAATTTCCTTCTTTCTCTGGCAATTGTGAGAAAGGTTCCAGAACTCAATGGTCGTGGAGGGACCAGGTCGATTGATTAATTATCCAGAGGCGAGAATGTATGAAAACAGGGAACGCGAGCGGGGGAAGCAAAGAATGGTGGGGAAGGAAGAGGGAAAGTTGGAGTGTCGTCGTCGGAATTCACATCGGGAAAAAGTTGAGTTCGGGGGGTGGGAGGGGGGAAGGAAGTGGGAGGAGAAGGGAGAGAGAAAGGCATTTAGGGAGGTCGCTACCCTTGTGCGTTGCGTTGCTGTTTTTTTCTTCTTTTTCTCGCCAAGCAGAAAGTCGTAATTGGCACTCGCGTTACCTGACTGGTAATCCCGTTACAAGGGGAAATTTCGTTAAATGGAAACATGAACGATATGGGAAGAATCTTTCGCTCCATATATGTATTTTTTATGTATCTATTTATATATTATATATGTATGTATAGATCATATATGTATCTATCGCCCTTAACCTCTGCCTGCCGTATCTTTCCCCGATACTGCCTCTGCCTTCCCTCTCCTTCTTCTCAGTGGGAAGTGTGTTTCTGTCAAGCGGACAGCCTTTCACCTGTTAAGAAGTTAAAAAAAAGAAAAAAAAAATGAAAAGAAAGTTAAATAAGTCAAAAAGGAAACGAAAGCATTTAAACAAGCGTCAAAGATAAAGAAAAAAAAGCGTCAAAAATAAAGAAAAAAATAAGGGTAAAAGAAGGAAAAAAAGAAGCGAAGATGCACTTCCTTGCTCTGTTCTTCTTCACCTGCTCTCCCTTCCTTTCTGTCTTTGTTCTTAAAGGCTATCGTCATATGTACATTACGATATATATCGTCAGAAAGTTATCAGAGCGCAAAAGCGAAACACAACTCCCCCTGTTCAGGACCTCTTGCGTACAGGGCCGCGCACGTGGATGTGGTTATGTATGTATATATATCGTCACAAAGATATACATATGTATATACGCGTATATATTTATAAAGCTGCATGTATATGTATATATGTAATATGTATATATATGCATGTATAATCGCAAAGGATTCTTGGAGTTGACGCAGAGTCGCTGGTGAGTACGAATGGTTTGTTATCTGGGATTGTTTGTTTGCAGGCAAGGGTGTTTTGATATCCTGGATGGTCTTGTCCCGTCATTTGGCCTGTGACGAAGGAGGCGGTGCTTGCATGTGGGACTTGTCATCTAGGATCTGTTTATGTTTGTTCCCCCTGTTTTGTTATGTTTGGCTGTTCCCTTCCTCTTTCTTTGCCTCTTTGCCTTTTGGCTGTGTGCAAGTGGGTCGATATGACACACGGGGGTGGGGGCCGCCGCCGCTCAACCTACATCCACGTGGGCGGCGTTGTACGCAAGAGGTTTTGAACAGGGGGAGTTGTAAGTAAGAAGATAAAAAATGAATTGATTTTTTTCTTTTTTTTTCGCTTTTGCGCTCTGATATCTTTGTGACGATGTATATACGTAGTCACAAAGAACTGCACGGTAAACCGTAGGCAGAAAGGAAGAAAAAGACAAGAAACGCGGGTCTCTGATACCACTTCGTTGGCCTGTCACCGGCTCATCAGGAGGCTGAACCCTGGACAGCTTGCGCAGTCCCCTAACAGGTGCGCACCGATCACTACCCTCCGCGATACCTGTGAGGAACGTCAAAACTCTCTCTCTCTTTCTCTCTCTGTCTATATATATACGAATGAGTCGCTGAAAGGCCGACGCTCGCCGTTTCTTGTCCGTTTCGCGCTTTCTGCCTCCGGCTCACGGGGCCTTGTACGTAAGAGGTGACGAACAGGTGGGGCTTTCCTTCTTTTTCTTTTTCTTGTTGTCTTTTTTCGCCTTCGCGCTCCGATTTCCAGTGTGACAATATATATGCGCCCCTGCGCGCGCGCTTGAGAGAGAGAGAGAGAGAGAGAGAGAGAGGTTTGGTGGGAGGGAAACATTGGGTGCCCCATTTCAACTGGCAGCAGACAAAGATGGAGGGAAGGAGGACGGTGAAAGAGAGGGGGAGTATTCGATTATTTGACGAGTGTGGATTGGACTAGAAGGTGTTAATTGGGGTTCACTAGTTTTTTCTCTCGTTGCTGTCACGCTTCCGGAACTTTTATTTTTCCTTTTCTTTGGTTGGACACTGGAAGCCGTTTTTCTAATCAAGAGCACCGTTTTCATTTGAAACGGAATGAATGTTCTCCTATTTACATACATATATGTACACTTAAAAAAATCTGGCTGTGAATTCTTGGTTAGGGTTTTGAATCCGTTTGAGTTCATCACCATGGAGGTTGGCGATATTATTATTATTTTTTCCTCCAAAGGCGGGAAGTCATATTACTGTCTCTTATACACATCTAGATGTGTATAAGAGACAGGAATGAATGTTCTCCTATTTACATACATATATGTACACTTAAAAAAATCTGGCTGTGAATTCTTGGTTAGGGTTTTGAATCCGTTTGAGTTCATCACCATGGAGGTTGGCGATATTATTATTATTTTTTCCTCCAAAGGCGGGAAGTCATATTACTCGTTATGCATGTGAATAAATAAATATCAAGTTAGGGTTGAACTCCTTGCGCTCGTAGTTTATCAGTTTCAGTGATTGGCGCGTTTTGTTCATCCTTTTTTTTTTTCGCGATGCCGTGTCCGCCTTTTTTTTTTTTTTTTTTTTCAAAGGCTGATTCTTTTAAGCTCAACCCATTCAATTACCTGTCAAATCTTAGCCACTTTTTCTTACAAAATTCTTCGTCAATTTCTATGTTCTGCGCTGTATTTTTCCCAAGGTCCCATTTTTTTATTTTTACTTCCCTACCCACTGTTTCTTTTATTCCTTCGTCACTTTCTTTGTTCTGCGCTGTATTATTTGGAAACGCTCCTTTCATTTTTGTGATTCCATTTATCTTGATTGGGGTGTTAGGTCATCTACGCCTCACTCGGCGCTTGTGAAATATTTTTTCTTTTTCTTTTTTTTAAGGGGCGGAGGGGGAATTGCCGTGTGATTTCTTTTCTTCTACTTTTTTTTTTCCTGCTTCGCGTTCGTCATCTTCATCTCCATTGTCTTTCGTTCTTTCCGTCGTTTCTTTTTCCCTTCTTCCCCCCTCCCCCCCGCTCTTTTGTTCATTTTCCTTCTTGTCACGTGCCTTCTCCCCCCCCCCTCCCCTTCCGCCTTGGAATGGTTGCACGTTAGCATCTTCACCGCTCGGTTTCCTCCCATTTCTCAGTTTTTTTTATTTTTTTACTTTGGCCTATTTTCGCCTCCCTCTTTTCTTCACCGCTTGCTTCCCTCCCGTTTCTTAGTTTTTTTATGTTTCTTTTCGCCCCTCTTTTCTTCACCGCTCGGTTCTCTCCCTTTGTTGTTTGTTTTTTTTGGCTTCTTTTCGCTACGTCTTCGTTTTGCTGCGTTTCTCTTCTCTTCTCTTCTCTGCTCAGTTCCTTCTCTACTCAGTTCCTTCAGTCTTTTCTTTTACGTTGCGGGCCCCCCC